TTTAAGAACTAATCTGTACAGAACCTAAAAAATGTTGGAGTAAAAAAAATGCATACTTCGATATAAAACTTGTTCGTTGCATACATGCTTCGATACACCTGCTTCGATGCACACACATGCTTCGACACAGACATGTTCATCACACATACACACATGCTTCGATACACACTTGCTTCGAACACACTGACTTGCAGGCCCAAACGAAGGAAAGCGGAAGGGATGTGTGAATCGAAGAACCTACGCTTCGAATCACACTGGTTTCGATTTGGAGAAACATGGTCGAAGGAGAGCATGTTTCAATGCACACATGCATGATTCGAAATATGCCTCAACACTAGAAATCTAAGGATTTGCTTTCCTTTATTTTTGTGATATTCTTTTCACATGTTTTCATATTTTTTGCTTCATAGCTGTGATACGGTGGCAGAACCGACTGTTAATACTGATTTGTATTTTTGTTTACAAATGTCGCAGTAAGCAAGAGTCGCCACCGACTTTTCTTTTATCCAAAAAAGGAAAGGGTGAAAAGAACAGAAAAAGACCTTTTTCGAGAGTTTTCTGAGTAAGGGGGATAGATTATGGAAAGGGAAGGTGTTAGCACCCTTTCCATCCGTAGTTTTCTACGGGCTCTTAGGTACTTGCTCATTTTTGAAAATTGATTCCGTGTTTGTGTGATTTGAAAAGTTTTGAAAGTGCCTTAGTGCGGAAATTCACTTTATGGTAACCCTTGTATCAGTCCTTAAGGGTGTGATGAAGTGTTTTTGAAAACTTTAGTTTGAAAAGTGTTTTAAAAGTGTGGTGTAAAAATTTGTTTGAGCAAGTACCTAACAATTATCTACCTACTCGAAAAAGATTGTTCTTTTCCTCCTATCCTTTAGACCGTGTTATCCTACTATTAGTGAGTAGGTAACCCTAGACGTTGGATGTTGAGGGACTATCGAAAGGGACGTAATGGTCATTAAAGGCAACATGTAAGGATACCTTAGCATTTCGAAGGGACTATCATCATAAAATCATTTCTCGTAGGCAACTCGAGGGACAGTGAGGGACTATGATCTTTTATGATGACTTTGAACTGAGGGTCTTTGCTAAGGGTATCCCTACGTTCGAGGGACATGACCATTGTTTCTGAGGCAACCAAGTGAAGCATACCCTAAGGGTGCAAGTGTGCAGCAGTGTGCTTTTTTCAGAGATTTTATCTTGTCGTTTAGTGATCTAAGACTGAGTATTTAATTCTTGCCATACACACCTAATTTACTAGCAGTTTATATACAGGCATATAATATAGTGCAGAAAGTAAAACTTACAGCTATTACAAAGCTTTGGGGCAATTACAATTATATTTGACTGAAAATGTAAAATGCGGAAACTAAAACCCTAATTAAGCTATTACAAATCGGGCGCAGTTACATAAATGATAAAAAAATAATCGTAAAAAAAATAATGACGCGCAAATATTAAGACGGGAAAAAGTTCTAAACCCTAAAAAATATAATTTCTCATTGAATTTTTTTTTGGTATTTTATGGAAAAAAATTAGAAGTTGAACCTAATTTCTAACTAATTTTAAATTAAAGAAAAAAAGTTAAAGCTTAATTAAATTAATTTGAAAAAATTAATTTTATTAAGAAAAACTCTAAATCCTAATTTTTATGATTTTATGATTTTATTGAAAAAATGAATGAATAGAAAATATAAACTAATTAACAAAAATTAAATAAAATAAAGGAAAGAAGATGGGCCTGAGGGTGAGGAACCCAATTGAGGGGTGTGCTAGAATTTGTGCCATGGGCCCAGATCTGTCGGCCCACAACCTGTGTTGGATCCAATGTTGCTAGATCCTGAGGGTTCACCATGGAGAAGCGTTTCTAGGCGCTGGATCTGGAGGATGAGTGACCCAATGGTGATGATGATAGAGCCCATGATTCGTGCCTAGGGATGTAACATACTGGAATCTACAGAAAACATCAAGAAAATAGAAAAGCATTGGGCCTGGGATCGAACCCAGGTCCTTTCCTTCATATACTCAATCCATTGCCAACTGCGTTGCTTGTTCATTCATATATATAACAACATAATAACAATAAATGTAAATTATGGAAATTTAAGCTTCGAACCGAAAGCCCATCCCACACAAAAATGTTCCTGAGTTCAAGTCTAGTCTTAGTTTTTCATTGAGCATGCCTATATCATCTGGTTCGAAGCATGACACAGATTTTTCCCTAAACATGGCAAAATCTTTGTTTCAGCTCCAACCACTCATGTCTCACGTTGGTCCTACCTTAAACAATCTCCTGGATACGAATCAGACTAAGAAAAGGATTAATACATCATTGAAATATCAACATAAATTCAAGAAGTTACCCATGATGAGTTATTTCGATTTATTGGTTCTGGGAGGATTTTCCCTTCAAAGATGGATATACTGGCTTGCTGAGAGTCCCAGGAATACAATTGGATTGTTGTAACTGGTTGAGATTGGATGGAGTGTGAGATTTGGAATTGCACCATGCTTGTAATTTTATTCTTGGTTTGGAGGCAGCTTTTTCGTTTTCTTGAAACGTTGCACTTTTTGTCTGGCCCTTTTTTGTGGCTGCTGCCTCTTACATTAGGTTTAGACTTCTTATACTTATGTAGTGAATCTCACTAGGTTTACATTTATGGCAAAAATCCAATGCTTTGATGACAAGAATATGAGTTTTTAATTTGTATCAAAACTTGTTGTTTCAGGAAAATCTCTTTCTCCTTTTGTCCCATGCGTTTTGCTTTGACATGCCAGCCTATTTCATTCTTTCGAATCTGCCTTCTTTGCCAGCTTCAAAGTCCAATTCGAATCTATTTAGAATTTTCCTTATTAGAATCCCTTCAACCAGCCCTTGGCCTTGATGGTTCTCTTGAAATTTTATACTGAAATGCCATTCGAAATACCCTTTGCCATGCCAATCGAAGGACCTTTGTCCAGATACCAATCAAAGGGTACTTGTTAAAATGCCAATCAAAGAGCCTTGTTAACAGGCCAATCGAAGGACCTTTGTCCATACCAATTGAAGGGCGCTATGTAGATGCCAATCGAAAGGCATTTTAGAGATGCCAATCGAAAGGAATTTTGTAGATGCCAATTGAAAGGCATTTTGGAGATGCCAATCAAAAGAAATTTTGGAGATGTCAATCAAAATGCATTTTGTAGATGCTAATCGAAAGGAATTTTGGAGATGCCAATCGAAGGAAACTTAAAAACATCACTCACAAATTTTCCTTTTCTTTAGGTAAAGGTTTGTGACCAACCATGTATGGGAAGACCTTCGAAAACATGAGAGGGCAAATTTTGGGGTACAATAGTTGCCCCTGTTCAATCTTCTTAAACCTGAGGATATAGATTGGTCGGTCTGCCTTTCGTGATCGGAAGGTGGAAGATGATTGAACACTAGAATGCCCAGAAATTTGCACTCGTCTGAGATGATACTTAACTGTGTAGATAGTATTAGGAATGGGCTTATAGATGCCATTTGGACAAGATGACGTAAGATCGTCGGAGATGGGCTTAAAGATGCCATCAGAATGTGACAGAGAGTCGTTGGAGATGGGCTTAAAGATGTCATCCAGAATAATGATAATTTCATGAGATATCCCTTTGTGGGAATTCCTGCTCTTGCTGTTAGAGAGGACTCTGTTGAGGAATGTTGGTCTTTGTCTTGGAACATAGAGCTTTAGGAGCTTCAGTTGTCCGTTACTCTACTGGGGAGTCATCACTTGATTGAAGAGACAAAAGTGAACTGCTATCTGATCAGGATCCAGGCTTTACAGTGGCTTGAATTGTTGATTGACTATTATCCGATTAGTTTCCGGGCTTCATAGCTTCTTTAACTGGAATAAAAATCTTAGTATCAATTTGACTGAACCAGAGAAAGGTCTCGAGTTGTCTTTAACTGGGATAGAAATCTTAGTATCGATTTGACTGAACCAGAGAAAGGTCTCGAATTGTCTTCAACTGGGATAGAAATCTTAGTATCGATTTGACTGAACCAGGGGGAGGCCTCGAATTAACTTTGACTGGCATAGTAATCAGGAGAATCTTAGTATCGATTCAACTGACCCAGACAAAAGTCTTGGAATATCTTCAACTGGAATGGTAATCAGAGAGATCTTAGTGTCGACCTGCCTGACCCAGGGAAAATCTTGGGTTAACATTGTCTGGCATAGTAATTAGGAGAATCTACAAGTTTTCATCAAATATCAGAATCAAATTACGCTTTAAAGGCTATAGGATTTGTTGGAACATTATAGGTCACATTTTAATTTGGAATGTTCTTAACTCCTAAATTCAGTTCATGCCATAATCGTTTCCTCAAGACATTTGTTTTTATGTTGAGATCTTTCATGGTACAAAATGTTGAATGCGAGGATTCTTGGATCGTTTGTTGATTAATTCAAGTCATTGGTGTTTGAAGCATTGGTGATTATTGGATTAGAGTGGATTTTTGACCAATGTTCTTAATGAATTATTTGTTCTTTCAAGTACTTTGCGCTTGTATCTCAAGTTACCATTAAATTGAAGGTTTGAATTAGGGTCTCATCGGAGATGATTTGAAGGTTCACTCGAGAAATGACTTTAGTTTCAAATTGATTCAAAGTTTCAACTGCATTCATCATTTTAAGATTTTCAAGCTAATCACCATTGAAATATCCGCTTTCAAAATCAAACTTCATTCATGTGGACAATTTTGAACCATATATCATTCAATTCATCATCATTTCAAATTCAAGGTTCTTTTCAATAAGTGGTTTGTATCAAGTATTTCATATCCGAAAGAATTTACTCAAAACTCAAAGATTCAATTCTAATTCAATGTTCATCATCCAAGTCTTCAAACAAACTTCAAGTTCCATCAATTTATGTTACAAAGAAACAATTTCAAGATACATTTCAAAGTTTGTTACAAGAACATGGAACCAAATCCTAAATTCTAATAATCATATACACTTTGTTTCAAATCTTCAAAATCACTTGTGCCAAAAGTCTTGCACCATATGCCAAACCAATATCATGTATGTTGCTACCTCTACATAACCTGCAACAACAAAACAAACAAATAGTCCAAACAATTCAGTCCAAAAACTGCTACAATTCTGCTCCACCAACCTGTTACTATGCTGCAAACCTGCTACTTTCTTACTGCAAATCTACCCACAAACCTGCTACTGTCTTGATGCCAAATCTGGCCATAAAACTGATACTTTCTTACTGCAAATCTGCCCATAAACCTACTATTGCCTTGCTGCCAAATCTGCCAACAAACCTGCTACTTTCTTACTGCAAAATCTGCCCACAAACCTGCTAAAAACCTGCTGCAAAAATAGCCCTGATCCAATAGTCCAAATTCTGCTATGAAACTGCAAACAAAACTGCTATAAACAGCCTGCTGCCCTGCAAGCATAACATGTTAAACATTGCATCAAAAGGGAAGGATAGAAATTTACAGAAGAAAGTAGTGAAACAGAACACACAAATCTGTTCAAACTCAATAACTTTTCACTCTCAATTCTCATTCACTTGCCTATATAAGAGAGATTACTGATATGAAGAAAAAGAGAGATCACAACATACAAACACACGGAAAAATTCCAAAAAGAAAAGAACATACAAAAACCCAGAAAAATTGTTGTTAAACCAAATCTCCATCTTTAACCTTCATAACTTTTTTTTAATAATTCTGCTCAAACTCCCAAAACCGCAGCCCTTCACACTACTTCTTAAAACCAGTTTCAACAATACTTCAAAACCTGTCCAAAAGCAGTTAAAATGACATTAAAATTACAATACAAAAACCTGCAGAAAAAGTGTTAAAGGGAAGTATCACGAAGAATTCACCCTGCATACAGAAATACGACAACCATTCTAATGCTTCCTCTAAATCATCACTATTCAATTCAGCCTTGCTACATAAGTCTTACAAAAACTCGCGAAACCTTTTGATGAGGGCATCTTGGGGCGCATCAGACTCATGGAATAGATGGATAGGATCGAAGCTAATTTGAGGCTCTGTTAGCAAGTTCTTACTGGGCACTAAATGCAGAAGAATCCTTCTCACGCATAGACAAGATTTCGATAACGAGTGATCTTAGACCTGAAACAGACAACAACAACAACAACAACAACAAGTATGAAGTTATAGATGCTTGTTATTACCTGGGATTCTTGAAGGTATCTGGACTCTCACTCTCGCCTTTAAGCATTACAATAAACACTGAAGCGATCCTCTGCTTTGTAGGTTGGTTCATTCCTAATTTTTCGCCATTTTTATACTTCAATATAGCTTGAACACCCCTAGACCCTTCTCCATGGATTCTTTCTCTCCTCTAACTCCAATCTCAATCGCGGAGATGCAAAGTTGAGATATGAGCGGAACAGACAGAATCGCGGAGGAGGAAGTTGAAAGATGCGTCGTGGAGAGAAAATTGCGACGAAGAAGTGATAAATGACGATGCATGTTGATGAACGATGAGGAGCAGTGACTTTGAATCGGATCGGAGAGGAGGTCGACGGCCGTGGCAGTTGAGCGTGAAGAGAGAGTTTCAATATTTTTTATTGTTTTTTCACAGTAAACATAGGAAGCAGATCCGTTTTGGAGTTTTTTTTTAGGGTTTTTCCTCTTGTTTTTTTGTTTTTGTTTTGGGCCAGTAATGTTGTTTGATTTCATTTACACACCTCTTGTTTTTTATTTTTGCTGATATAACAATAATGTTGTTTGGGCCACACCTCCATTTTCACCATACAAGCCCATTTGAAATAGTTACTCTCACTCTCCATTTTTTGTTTCACACTCTTTTATAATTAATTTATTTTAGGTTTAAGTTATTAATTTTATTATTAATATAGTTTAGATTCAAAATTAATAGTTTTATAATTAACTTAGTTTATATTTTAGATCTAATTTATTAACTTTAGGATGTTAATTTATTTTAGATTTAATTTAATGACTTTAGAATTTTAAGTTAGTAATTTTAGAATTTTAATTTAGTTTAGTTAGTAATTTTTATAATTTTTATTTAATTTAGTTAGTAAAATTTAGAATTTTAATCTAATTTAGACTTAACTTAATAACCTTAAAATTTTCAATTTTAGTTTGCAGTTAATTATATCTCTTTATGCTTGATTTTTCTCCCGTCATTTCGTATTTTTTATTCACTTGTCATCAATTGTTATTGAAAGTAATTCTCCTTAATCCTTTTTTGAAAATTTTCTTGAGTTTTATTAAGTTAGTAGAAAAAAATGGTTTGAAGTTGTTGGTTAGCTATTTTGAGTTGATCGACATTAAGAGTTCAAGTTCAGAAATTGAACTCGGTCCAAAATCGCAGGTGGGTGTAAATAATAAGGGTCCAAATTCAAAAATTAAACTTGACCCAAATGTGTGAGTTCTAATATTTTGGTAGAGGATTAAATTAATTAAAATTATTATGTAAACATTGATTATTATTTACAAATAATTAATTTAATTAACCTAACCAAATAATTAACCTAGTTAGTCTAAAAGGGGGTTTAAATTGATTAACTAAAAGAAAATTAAATAACTTAACCAAGACTAAAAAATTCTAAAGGAATGTTAAATTACAAAGAAGGGTGCAAAGTAGAATATAGAGATTAATGGCCCAAGCCCATGATGCTAAAACCCTAAATTGTCCACAATACAATACAAATAATAAAAAATAAAAAATAAAAAACTTGTTGAAAGCATAGGAAGCGCCGCTGGTGCTTTCTGTAAGTAGAGTCATCTTTGATTTTTTTTATAAAAAGCTACATCAACCAATTTAAGACTGACACGTGATATTAGAAACAAAAAAAAAAACAGTACAACATAATACATAAGAGTTAGAAAAATAAAATAAAAAAAGAAGAGAAAGAAAATCCCTTCCTCTCTCCTACGACCCATCTCTCTTTCTTTGTACTCTCATCTTTCTTCTTTACAACATCAAAATCTCTAAACCAGCTTTCTTTTCATATCTTAAATCAAAACCACATATCCAAATATACAAAGATTAGAGAAGAAAAATAAAGAACCCTCAGATAAATTGGTGATGGTGGCATGGAGTGGCTCGACGGTGTTCCGTCGATGTGAAGAGATGCTTCGTCGACTGGACTGCGTCTGGGATGAGCTCGGATTCAGTCTTACGGAGGAGCGGCTGCGTGCCTGAAACTGCGACCGGAGAAGGGATCTTATCGCTAGAGTTGTGGGTTTCTTGCGGCGAAGCTTGGGCTGTGTTCGCGATTTGGAGGGCAGACGGATGCGGGTAAGGCCATAGCTTGCTGGTTCGTTCGATTTGCACATAGGTGGCTGCACAGTGGCCGCTGGTTACGTCATTAAGGATCTCTCGTGCACGATGGTTGTTCTTGTTGGTGCAAGGTAATGAAAGGGGAGAAGAAGAATGAGCGGAATGAATGAGTTACAATATTAATAGTTTAGGTAGTATATTTATACTAAAAATGCAAATGTCAAAAGGTCCTATTAAAGAATAAGCATCGGTAATTGTAGACATTAACTAAATTACATTTTCAATATCATCCCTTAATTTAGATATTCTATCCGAAACTAATAACATCAATTTCATCTCTCAAATGAAGAAATTGATCTGTTTTAACTGTCTTTGTCAGAAGATCTGCAAGCTGTTTCTGAGTGCTACAGTGCAGAACTTCTAATACTCCTTTATGCATTTGACTTCTGAGAAAGTGATACTTCGTCTCAATGTGCTTGCTTCTTCCATGTAGCACTAGATTCTTGGCAAGATTAATTGCAGACTTATTATCAATCATCAGCTTCAGAGGTTCTTCAACTTCAACCTTCAGATCATGCAGGAGATTCAGAAGCCAAACTGTTTGACAAGCAGCTACAGCACCTGCGATATACTCAGCTTCACATGTTGACAGAGCCACTCAGCTTCACATGTTGACAGAGCCACGACAGGCTGTTTCCTGGAACTCCAGGAAATGGGACCTCCCAGAAATTTAAACAAGTAATCAGAAGTACTTCTCCTGTCCACTCTGTCTCTGCACCAGTCAGAATCAGAATAACTTACTAATTTTGACTCTGTCTTTCTTTCAGAAGGAAACAACACTCCATATCTCAGAGTTCCCTTGATATATCTCAGAATTCTGATAGCAGCTTGGAAATGAGACCACTTTGATTTACTCATGAATCTGCTAACAAATCCAACTGCAGAACAAATGTCAGGTCTAGTATTACATAAATACTTTAGAGAACCAACCAATTGTTTGAAGGTTGTAGAATCAACAGAATCACCATCAGAGTCAGAATCCAATTTTTGATTGGTTTCTGATGGTGTCACAACAACTTTGCAATTCTGCAGCTTAAATCTCTTCAGAAGTTCTTGTACGTATTTTAACTGATGAAGAATGATACCCTTCTTCGAGTACAGAATCTCCATCCCTAGGAAATATGTCATTTTTTCTAGACCTGTCATCTCGAACTCATTCATCAGAACTTCTTTATATCTTCTGGGCAGCTACCTGTTAGCAAAATGTCATCAACATAGAGACACACCAGAATCGTATTGTTATCAGAGTGTTGTACATAAACTCCATATTCCATCTCACATTTCTGAAACCTCTGTTTCTTGAAAAACAAATCAATTTTCAGATTCCAAGCTCTAGGCGCTTGCTTCAGTCCATACAAAGCTTTATTTAACCTGTATACCATCCCTTACCGATTCTTTTACACAAATCCAGGAGGTTGTGACACATAAACTTCTTCCTGTAATGGACCGTTCAAAATGCAGACTTCACATCCAGATGCATTAAAGGCCAATTTCTGTTTGCAGCTAACGCAATCACCAGTCTGATTGTTTCATGCCTAGCTACAGGCGCAAACACCTCAAAGTAATCTAGCCCAGGTTTCTGAAGAAAACCTCTAGCTACTAGTCTAGCTTTGTTCTTGCCAATGGAACCATCTGGCTTAAGTTTCAACTTAAAACCCCATCTAACGTTGATGGCTTTTTTCTTATCTGGAAGTTTAGCCAATTTCCAAGTTTTGTTTCTTTCTATTGCCTCAAGTTCTTCTTTCATGGCATTAAGCCATTCTTTCTTCTTGAGAGCTTCTTCAATGCCCACTGGTTCAGAATCTACTAACATGGCACACTGAACGACTTCTCCTTCAGAGTCAACTTCATTATCCTGCAACATGTCAAAATCTGCAAACCTTCTTGGTTTTTGTCTGATTCTTTGTGGTCTTTGAGTTTGTTCTGAAGCTGCACCAGAACTACTACTTTCAGAATTACCACCTTCAGAGTTTTCCCTTCCAGAACTATGATCACCACCAGATTCTGGATCATCATCAGCATCTGGATCAAAATCAGATCCATTTCCAGAATCTTCTTCTGACTCATCTTCAGAATCTTCAGGATCTTCAGAATCACATTCATCTTCTGAACTTTCTAAAACATCTTCAGAGGCTAACTCTGGTGTTGGTACTACACCAGAATTTGATTGAGATTTGTTCCAATCCCATGCTTCAGACTCTTTCACCACAACGTCTCTACTGACTTCAACCTTATTAGTTTCTGGACAATAAAGCTTATACGCACCTGTACTGTGGTACCCCACCAGCAACATTACTTTGCTTCTATCATCTAGTTTTTGTCTTCTAGCTTCTGGAACGTGTTTGTAACAGACTGAGCCAAACACCTTCAGATGAGTGACACTCTGCTTATCTCCAGTCCATTTCTCTAAAGGAACAGCTTCCTTCATTTTCTTTGTTGGACACCTGTTCAGAATATATGCTGATGTGGCAACAGCTTCTCCTCATAGCACGTGAGGTAGCTTTTTCTCTTTCAGCGTGCTTATGGTCATATCAAGCAAAGTTCTGTTTCTTCTTTCAGCAAGACCGTTGTGCTGAGGAGTATATGGAGCAGTAACCTCATGTTCTATTCCACTCTCCTCACAGAACTTCTGAAACACTGTAGAGTTATACTCACCTCCACCATCCGTTCTCAGAATTTTTAACTTCTGACCACTCTGCTTCTCAGCCTTCACTTTGAATTTCTGAAACTCAGTAAACAATTCATGCTTGAACTTGATGAGTGTTACCCATGTCATTCTTATGAACTCATCCACAAAAGACACAAAATAATTGTTTCCTCCAAGTGAAGGTACTGGAAATGGTCCACACACATCAGAATGTACTACTTCCAGAGCATGTTTCGCTCTGGGGGCTACTTCTGATGTAAATGGCAACCTAGGTTGCTTGCCTTTCATGCATATCTCACATGACTTCTCAGGCTTCACAATCTTCGAAATACCATGTACAAGCTTCTTAGAACATAGATGCCTTAAGCTTCTATAATTCAAATGCCCCAACCTCTTATGCCACAGCTTATTGTTACCTTCAGTGACTTCTGCACTAAGACACGTTGCTTCAGTTGTTTCTACATTTACCTTGAATGTTCTGTTGCCTCCTTGTTCAGACTTCATAATCAACTTCTGATTGGAATCATACAACGTCAGAAGATTGTTTTTCATAACAATTGAGAAACCTTTCTCAATCAGCTGTCCTACGCTCATCAGATTGTTTCTAATACCAGGAACATACCAAACGTCTTTGATCAGAATGTCTTTCCCATTATTCACTCTAACTCTGACATCTCCCATACCTTCTGCATTAAGATACTTATCGTCAGCACATCTGATCTTTGTTCTCCTTCTGGAGTCAAAGTCTGTCAGCCATTGTTTGTTTCCAGTTAAATGATTTGAACAACCAGTGTCCATATACCACCAATCTTCTGAGCATTTTCCATCAGAATCAGAAGCCATTAGTAGTACAGGTTCATCGTCAGAGTTTCTCTTAGCCATATATGCTTCTTCTGATTTCCTTTCCTTGTTTGACCTACAATCTCTGGCAAAATGGCCAAATTGTTTACAAGAGTAACATTGAACCTTCCTTTTGTCATACATCTCCTTTACTTTATGATATTTCTTATCATCAGAAGTTGAGGCTTCTGACTTCTGGAATCTATCACCACGTCTATTCTGCTTCTGGTCTTTCTTGACAAAAGAAGCCTTCAGAGCTTGCTCAGCTTCCCTCTCAGAAGTTCTCTCAGACAGACGTAACTCCTGTGCTTCTAAGCTACTTTGCAATTCTTCTATTCTCATGGTTTCTAGATCTTTAGAATGTTCAATAGAAACAACAATTTAATCAAACTGAGGAGTAAGTGACCTCAGAATCTTCTCTATGATTACCTGTTCAGACAAAGTTTCTCCACACGCCTTCATCTCGTTAGTGATCAGAATCACTCTGGAGATATATTAAGAGACTTTCTCACTGCTCTTCATATTCAAGTTCTCATATTGCTTTCGTAGGGATTGAAGCTTCACCTTCTTTACTGATGCGTCACCACCGTAACATCTCACCAGTAAATCTCACGCCCCTTTTGATGTTGTAGAGTCAACAATCTTCTCGAACACACTTTCATCCACACACTGATGGATATAGAACAGAGCTTTCTGGTCCCTCTTCCTCATCATCCTCTCAGCATTTCTTTGTTATTCAATTGCATCTGTTGCAGCTGGTACATAACCATTTGTAACCAGATCCAGAACATCTTACGCACCAAACAACACACGCATTTGTATCATCCACCTGTTCCAGTTTTTTCCATTAAAAACGGGAAGTTTGGTGTTCAAACTGCTGTCTCCACTCATTTTAAACCTTGCACGGATTTTTTAGATCTTCAAACACACTGTTTCCCAACCCACAGAATCAGATTTTATTCAAGATTTCAACAAAAAATCAGTGAACCAAAATCAAACACATAGCTCACAAACACTCGTGTTTCCCAGGAAAACAGAATCAAGTGCTCTAGATACCAATTTGTTGGTGCAAGGTAATGAAAGGGGAGAAGAAGAATGAGCAATGAATGATAACAAAGAGGACTACTATTGTATATCAAATAGAGGAATGAATGAGTTACAATATTGATAGCCTAGGTAACATATTTATACTAAAAATGCAAATTCCAAAAGACCCTATTAAAGAATAAGCATTGAGAATTGTAGACATTAACTAAATTACATTTCCAATAGTTCTTGCGGTGGATCGTTGCTCTTCTTCTTTCTCTGTTTTTTGATCTGTATACAACAACAAACACAAACATAAAACCAAAAACGGTTTCGATTAATTGTAGCTTTTTGATTACTGACGTTGTTTCGAGTTATGTTTTATTGATGTGTAATGAACATGATGTTGTGATTATGATTTGAAAACTGTTACTTGAAATTGGGATAATAACTTAATTTTTAATTTTGCAGGTTATTAGGATG